CTGTCTGTACCGTAGAGAGGACAGTCAAGCACTGGTTGCCTCTCACACACAGGGGAGAACCATCAGCACAACAGGACCACAACAACCACAGGGTCCACGGGGGAGGAGCAGAACCACATGGACATGGACAGGACCACCATGCAGAACCCAGGGACCACAGGGACCACAGGGGGGGAGAATCACCAACACAGCGTAGACAACAACCACAGGGTCCACAGGGAGCAGGGGGGACCACACCAGGGGGGGGGGATGGGGCGGGTAGCAGCCCTGGATCATATAATATAGGGTTGAGGCGGTGATGATATGCTGACTCTTCTTGTAGCGCCATGACATCTTGGAAGCTACCGCGATAACTCATCATCACACTGACGTGTTCGAGGTGAACACGCACTCGCTGGTGTTAAAACCTTGGGTAAACTGACAAGAGCTGCTCCTCAAGAAGGAAGGTCAGTTATATAAACTCCCCCAAACAGTCATCCAGCCTCGCATTTGACAGTAGGCATTCCCAGAGCGGCAGGCCCGATAGGATCCTGATCCTTAAGTAAGATGCTGCAAACCCTTTGTGCCCTGATCTCTGTGAACTACACATCCTGAAATCCGAAAGCATGTTCCAGGGTCCAAGCCGTCTTCGGCGATGCAGGGTCCGGGGGCCGCGGCCTAGTGGTTCGCTGCGCCGGAGACCTGGGATACTTGCTTTTGGTCTGTGAGTACGGCCTTTGTCTGTATCTATGTCAGGCGTCCTAGCTGCAATGTACAAATCATGTGTTTTCTTCGGGTGTTGTCTGGAAACTGATGCCAGGGCATGGAACCATGAGACATCTATGTGCACATGCAGGTTACCATGCAATCCAGGGCGTCGCAGTACTTGCGGACATTTATTTTCAGGTATGAGAAAGGTGATGCATGAGGCTTCAGGGCCGAAAACGCTGGAAAACAAATGAGTTTTTTATTTGGGAATACTATGGTACCCTTTATTCCTTACTGGGTTCAAACACCCAAAAAAGAACATTACTCAAATAGACTCCTGCAAGGATGGCGGCATAGCTGGGCGCCTGGGCCGTCTCCCAAGAAAGCGGACTGCCTGCGTTTGGAATTGCGAGCTGATGGCCTGAGCTCCTTGCTTTCGGTTCCACGGTCACGCGGTTTAGGGTTTAGGGTTTAGGGTTTAGGGTTGAAGTGAGTTGGCACAATGCATCAAGCTGCAATGCACATTTTTGCCGTGCGGAGTTATTCCAGAGTTTGTTAGTAAGGCGCTGGCTACAACTCTAGGTCCAAGACCCAAGATCTTGCTCAGCAAAAACCAGGATCTTGATTATGGTCCTGCTTTGCAGGCGAGATTTTGTAGTTTCCCAAATTCCGGGCCCCCAGTATAGACCCCAAAATACCGTAATCCTTATGATTCTGGGGACCCCCAGAAGGATACCCCTAATTTTGGGAAACCACTAAACGTCGCTTTAAAGGGACCCCCTAATTTCGGAAACCCCCCCAGTTTGTAAATGTCTTGAAGTCATCCAAAGGCATGGCCGCGCCTCCCAGTGACGAGAAGCCTGCCAAAGACGGGGAACTGCAAGCTAAGGTGTTACCCTATACTAATAATAATACTAATGATACTAATAATAATCATGCTAATAATAATAATAATAGAAATATTAGGTACTAACAGTAATAAGACTACAATAGTATTTTGGGTTTGTATAGGAATAATGCAAAAGAAAATGGAAACTACTATAATATACTATCATATACTATGGTCTCTGATGCCTCACTGGTTGGCTGAAGCTGTCAGGCTTTGTGCTGAAATGTGCCTTGTTTTGCGCTCTAGCATCCGCTTTGCGGAAAGCATGAGCAGCTATTTTTAACCCCCATAATCCCCTACATAAC